ATATATATATAGTAATTTATCATTTTCAACTGGAATATCTCCCAAACAGGATGAAAATAGCCAAGGTAATTCCCATTTATAAAAATGGTGAGAAATGTATATTTAGTAATTATTGACAAATATCCTTATTACCACAGTTCTCAAAAATCTTCTCAAAAATCATCTTTGTCACACTTTCCAAATTCATGTGGCCCTCCACATCTTGGACACCTAACTTTTACTTTGCAATCCTTTGCAATGTGTCCCATTCTTTGGCATGTAAAGTATCTGAGGGGCTTAGGTATATATTCTCTAACTCTGTAGTTCATATATCCCATCTGAATATATTCTGGCATAATCTTTTGAAACTGTAAAATCACTGAAGTTATTTGTGTTCAGGTTAGATCAATTCATCATTAAAAATCAGATTTTAAGTAGCAGTCAAATTTAGAGCCAATAACTCTACTTCAATGGCTCTTATGGAACTGACAGAACAAATAAATGCTGTTGATCAAAAACAATATTGCACCAGTATTTATGTTGACTCAAAGAAAGCATTTGACACAACTGACCACAGCATTCTACTTGAAAAACTAAATAAATATGGGATTAGATGACCAGCATTACAATGGATATCTAGTTATTTGGAAAATAGGAAACAGTTTGTACAAGTACATGATGTAAGATCTGAACTACTGTATGTGGAATAACGTGTGGTGTTTCTCAGGGTTCTGTACTTGGACCAAAATTGTTTATCTTGTATGTGAATGACTTGGTTAATGTGTCAGGGCTTTTTAAATGTGTTTTATTTGCAGATGATGCAACATTTTTTTTGTTTGGGTAAAGACAGAACGGATGTTAGAGAAAACGCAAACAAAATTTGTGAAAATACAAAACTGGTTTAAACTTAATAAATTATCACTCAATTTGGATAAAACTAATTATATGATATTTACAAAAGGACAAATAACATTCCATTTAGAGTTGATGGTGTAGAGATTAGTAGAGTCAGTGTGGTAAAGTTTTTGGGTGTTATTATTGATGAGAAACTGACATGGAAGCCTCATATAAATTACTTAAGAATAAAACTAGATAAATCTATTGCATTGCTTTACAAAGTAAGGGACTTGTTCAATGATAAAGCTCTGTATATATAACGCATTAATTGTTCCACACTTGGTTTATTGTGTTGAGGTATGGGGTAAAGTATGTAAGACAATTACACACCCTGTTTTTATTTTTGCAGAAAAGGGCTATTAGAGTTATCACTCGAAAACATAACTATTATCCATGTAACATATTGTTTTTAAACTGAAATTATTGAAATTCTATGATTTGGTTCATCATGATATTTTGTCAGTTATGTATAAAGCACACCAAAACACATAAAAACTTTGCAAAGAGAGAGCTGTTATAATCTTAAAGGGACAGAGATGTTCATGAAACCTACATTTAGAACCAGTTTGAAAGAACGTTGCACCTCAATCCAGAGTGAGATTGTGAAATAATGTGGAAAATGATGTTAACAGTGCCAAATCAAAGTACATGTTCAAGAGAATGATAAAGGTTGGATTGTTGAAAAAATATGAAACAGCATAATGTGTAACCATATAATTTGTTGTTCTAGAAAGATTTGATGTTCTTGTTTTGTTTTGTTAACTAAAGATTACTCTTAGTTGAATTTATACTTGAGGAAAAAAAGGGGCAGATATTATAAGATTTTATCTTCTCTCTGCTTCCTTTCATTTTATTGTATTTGTATTTTCATTTCTTTTATTGTACATAAAATTTTGTTTTTTATGAAATGAATAAAGTTAAACAAACAAACAAATATTATATGTCTTATCGCTTTATTCTTGATTTTGAGCGTTGAAAAATAACAAGTCCTTACTTTCACACAGAGGATTATGTTTTAGCTGAATAAAGAGCATGCTAATGTGATCTATATTTACACAGAGACATCTATGTATGTATTGTACGCTTTAATGTCTCTGCTTTGTCTGCTTTATTGGCTGCAGTCTGCACATCAGGACGGGGTTTTGCTATAATCTTAAATGGGTACGGCGAGCGCGTGGCTCCTGTTATTCCTTCTGCACTGAGCTCAACTCCATCCAGAGTGGAAAAGTGGAACCTCTGACACAAACCAACAAAAAACAAGAACAGCTCTATCTTTGCCAGGCCCTCGCCAAGACACGCACGCTTTCCTGGGAAAACAAAACAAACAAATGTTCATTGTCTCAGCAAGATGTTTCTGAATCCTCTTAAAATACTTGTGATCTAAAAGTCGTATGGTTACAAAAATTGAAGAATAAAAAACATCTTAATATTAAAAAAGGACACAATACACATGATAGTACCTATTTTGTCATATATGAGTTTTGTTTCAAACTTGATGTGATCTAAGTGAAACTGGATGTGACCCTGAAGGGAAAACTCTCTGCTCTTCTTTATAGGAGCAGAAAACATGAAACCAAGAAGTGAGTGATCAAAATCATTGTTGATATGATGAAACAGCTTTATTTTTCCCAAGAAAAGTTACATAAACTCTACACTAATGTTCTCCCACCATGTAATCATGGTGACAGGCAATATGACACTTCAGTCTTTCTGGAAATCTATTTCTCAATGTTTTCATTTTATATTATTCATTAAATATTGTATCATATCTGTAGATGTTAAGTTAGATCTGTGATAAACACTGGTTATTACATGTCCTGATGCATCTCAGTAATCCAGGTAAAAAATCAAAAAGAAAAAAATTGTATAGGTCTTCTGGACGGGTTCTTCTCTAATGAAACGTTTCGTCTCTCCTCCAAGAGACTTCTTCAGTCTGAGAGTTTCAGGCAAAATTCAGGCTTTTAAGCACTGCCTCCAGGTGACTGATACTCACATCACATGGCTATCGTTGACACCTAATTAACACCTATTGTTAACAGGGAGTGGAGTGATACTGGCAATAGCAAAACTGTAGGAGGGGACAACTGAAAACAGAGGCCTCCACCTCTGTTTAACGATGGACGGTCTTTCTTCACAAAAATGGCTTCTTTTGCACAAACATTGCACAGAGCAATGTTGTATATGCTGTTAAGTGCCAGGAGGACTGCGATCAGTTATACATCGGGGAAACAAAGCAGCCACTGTTCCAAAGAATGTCCCAACACAGACGAGCTACATCTAATGGCCAGAACTCTGCAGTTTTCACTCATTTACAGACCAGCGGTCACTCTTTCAGAGATGAGGATGTTCTCATTCTTGATAGAGAGGAACGTTGGTTTGAGAGAGGAGTAAAAGAAGCCATTTTTGTGAAGAAAGACCGTCCATCATTAAACAGAGGTGGAGGCCTCCGTTTTCAGCTGTCCCCCTCCTACAGTGCTGCTATTGCCAGTATCACTCCACCCCCTGTTAACAATAGGTGTTGATTAGGTGTCAACGATAGCCATGTGATGTGAGTATCAGTCACACGGAGGCAGGGCTTAAAAGCCTGAATTTTGCCTGAAACTCTCAGACTGAAGAAGTCTCTTGGAGGAGAGACGAAACGTTTCATTAGAGAAGAACCCGTCCAGAAGACCTATACAATTTTTTTCTTTTTACTGGTTAGTACATATTATTCTACATGTAAATCCTACTATTGTACTGACAACTGTTTACTGACTGTGATCAATTTGGTACAGATTCTATCTGAGTCTGCCTGCAGCTAACATTAAATATTACTGAACAGCTGACCCGAATGATCTTTACTACTGTGAATTTCATTATTTGCTACAATTTATAGCAAAACATACAATTCCTGATATGTCAGTCTTCATTTTATTGCACTTGTATACACATGGTCCATGTTGATCCATAATCAACACATGGTAATGGCAGCGCCTGTATGTGTCAAACCACGTGACATCCGATCCAGTAATATATATCTATGGTAGCAACATTTTGTTTATCTTTCAAGAATAGAATAGAATAGAATAGAATAGAATAGAATAGAATAGAATAGAATAGAATAGAATAGAATAGAATAGAATAGAAACAGCCTTTGTTGTCCCGCGCGGGGAAATTCAGGTGTAGTAGCAGCAGCAGATACATACATCAATCCACAAAAAACAGTTTATTGCTATGTGACAATATCAATTATAGCAATAATAGTAGAATTAAAGATAGTAACAATACAAAATAAACAGATCAAAATAAAAATAGGAATAATATAGGATATACTCATCATGAAAATTAGCTTCTAACCATGATCAGTTCAGTTATTAATGACAGGAAATCGATCAGGTACAGAACAGTCTTATTACCTGCAGAGAAAGGTAAAAATGCTTCCCTCCTTTTGAACTTTTCCTCTTCATCCAGGAAGTGCTCAGGGTTGAAAGTGTTGGGAGTTTCCCACTCATTCTTGTCAAACAGCACAGAGGTCAGGTTGGGCATCACGGCGGTCCCCTACACACACACACACACACACACACACACACAGACACACACAGACACACGCAAAAACCACAGGAATGTTATTTTTCACTAATAAATAACAAATGTAAGATGGCAAGTTGTGTCTTAGACTGCATTTTCTTTTTTCTGTAATGTAAATCTTCAGGTTGAACCTGCAGCAGCAGAGTTCCTCACATTTAAAAAATATGTGTAACATATCATGAGATCAGGCTGCTCCTTTCTCTACCTTTGGGATGATGTAACCACCCAGTGCGGTGTCTCTGGCCGCCATCCTGAGCCCGTTGAGAGGAACGATGTTTCCCATCCTCTGGATCTCGTGGATGACAGCGTCAGTGTACGGCATGTTGGGTTTGTCTGCCATGCTGGGCCGTCGGCTCGGCCCGATCACTCTGCTGATCTCTGCCTGCACTTTCTCTTCAAGGCAAATCACATCCAGTTACAAATCAACATGCTTTTCTTCTCTTTCTAATCAGTTCTCCCATTTGAACGAAGTCTTGCTCTCACCTTGGATGTGAGGATTCATGATGAGGAAGATAAGGCCCCACTGCAGAGTCTTTGACGTGGTCTCGCTGCCGGCCAGGAACAGATCCAGACAGCACAGAACCAAGTTCTCCCCCTCAAAGCCTACCTCGGTCTTTCTGTTGTGCTGTTAGAAAGAGACGAGGAACAAAAAAAAAGTTTAGTAGGTAAAACGATATATTTTTAAAAATCTTCCTTTAAGAGTTCTGTTGAGCTGAGCATGGACACTGTACTCTCTCCTCAATGAGGAACTTGTCGATGTAATCACGAGGGTTACTTGGGTCTAAATCCAACTTGTGTCTCTTTATCTCTTTCCTGATAGATGCCTTCAGACATTCGGAGCTGCTGAAGATGCCGTTGTGAGGCCCCGGCAGGTGTTTCATCAGTGTGGGGAAGGCATCATAAAGCTGTTAGAGGAGAAAACAAAGAAATCATGAAGCAATGGTTCATATCATCTCACAAAAATATAAAAGAAGAAACTTAAAGGGATCCCTGATTAGTTGTAACATTAGACTTTATTTGATAAACATATATTTTAACTGTAAAATAAAGACTGTAAAAAATACTGTAGGCTGTTTAGTTTTGTAAATTTTTTTAAATATATTTTAACACGGACAGAGCCATTTATTTACACACAAAGCATTCTGGGTAAATGATGATGTGGATAGGTCCTCGGTGTGAGTGAGCTGTATCCACCCTGAAGGTTAATCTTGGACAATATCTGATGATCGACTCTTTTAAATGAAACCAGAGAGCGTTGACAGAGAGGAGAAGGTAGAAATGACTCAGCCTGTAACTGAAAATATAGATCGAGGACAACAGAGCTGCTTCATGGAAGAAGAACCTCAGCTTAGACTGTTAGCCTTTGCGCTAGCACCAACGCTATATTGCCTTAAATGTATTAGCTCGGTGCTAGCACGACAAACAAGCTAAACTGAGGTCCTCCATCCATATTTTCAGTTACAGGCTGTCATTTTTGTGTTCTCCTCTCTGTCATGTGGATGGAGGACCTCAGTGATGAGAGGAGAATGTGTAGCGCTGAGCTAAAACATATATATAGTGATAGCATTGGGGCTAACGCTAAAGCTAACAGGCTAAGCTGATGTTCTTCTTCCATGAAGCAGCTCTGTTGTCCTCCATCCATATTTTCAGTTCCAGGCTGAGTCATTTCTACCTTCTCCTCTCTGTCAACGCTCTCTGGTTTCATTTAAAAGAGTCGATCATCAGATATTGTCCAAGATTAACCTTCAGGGTGGATATAGCTCGCTAGCAGCCTCGCACTGAGGACCTATCCATGTCGTCATTTACCCAGAATGCTTTACGTGTAAATAAAATGGCTCCGTCTGTGTAATATATTTTTAAACTTTTAGTTTTAAAATGATAAAAACTGAACATCCTACAGTATTTTTACAGACTTTATTTTAAAGTTAAAATATATGTTTATTAAATAAAATCTAATGTTACAACTAATCGTGGATCCCTTTAGTCTAAAGGACCTCACAGGTTGACTTTTCTATCTTTTTTTATGGTTGCTTTCAAGTTTGCTGGATGGTAAATGGATTGAACTTATATAGCACTTTATCAAGCCCCAAGGGGATCTCAAAGCACTTTGCACTAACAGTCATTCACCCATTCACACACTGATGGCAGTAAGCTACAGACACAGCTGCCCTGGGGCACACGGACGGAGGCGGGGCTGCCATGCACCAGCGCCACTGGACCCTCTGACCACCATCAGTAGGCAAGGTGGGTGAAGTGTCTTGCCCAAGGACACAACAACTGAAATGGCTGGACGGGGGCTCGAACCAGCAACCTAACTGTTACGAGACAACTCCCCTAATGAGTGTCTTGCCCACTCCACCACAGCCACCCCCTTGATGTGCATGAGCTTTTTTCACCATCTTACCAGGGAGGGAGCCCGAGGGTTCACCAGGGTGGCAAGTGCCACGCCTGGCATCTGATTGTCCACCCCAGGTGCCACCCCCGAATGACTGACAAGTGAAGGTGTAGATCATGTTTGGCAAAAATACTGGTCATTAGAGCTAAAACAATATCTGTTAAGCAGCTTTATTATCTGGTGTGAAGGAAACCTTTCAGTGTGTGAATAAAAAAATATATTTTCTAAATCACTGAATTCATATAAAAGCAACAATTCCACCACATTAAATTTCAGCTCAGTATTTATAAAAAAATAGCTTATTTGTAGCCATTTGACTTTAGCTTTGGTGGACATCTTGGACTCATGTATTTGATTTTAGTATCTGTTGACCACTGCTCTCCGCTACCACCACACTAAATTTCAGCTTCATATCTCTAAAAGCTTAAAATGAGATTTTGAAATGACATGGGGATTGCTCTTGACTCAGTATTTCTAAAAAATGGCTGAGGCATAGTTATTTCAAATTAGATTTGATGGTCATCTTGGATATTTACATTCAGATTTTGGTAAATATTATCCTTGGCTACCACTCTATAAATTTTCAGCTGTGCATTTATTGGCTAAATTAGAGCACTTTGTAAAATTGGCATTAGCATTTAGCTGAAATTGAGACCTACACCCAACAAATCTCAGTCCAGTTACTCCAAATGGTTGAATTATAGCCATTTAAATTTTGCTGTGGTGGCCATCTTAAATTGTCAAACCAGGGTAGTTTTCTTTATTTAAATGTACCCTCCAAGATAACACTTTGGCCACCCCCGTGCCACTCCTTGCAAAAAAGTCTAGCTCCACCCCTCCACCTTACAAGAGCCCAGATGGATCCTTCCAGATAGGCCATGTCTGTCAAATTCTTCAGCATGCTCTGGAAGTGCTGGTCACTGTAGTCAAACCGTCTCCCAAACACAATCTGACAGATGATGTTGGACACAGCACTGTTCAAAAGTGGGACAGGGTCGAAGGCCTCGCCTGAAACAGAGGAATAGAGAGCTTCAGTCACACTGTTCTTCCCCTACATGTTGTTTGATCTTCTGGCTGCTTTTCAACCTTCCTTCGTCTCCATCGCCTCCTGCAGATGTCGACTCTCCTCGCAGACGCTCTCCTCCGTGGAGCTTTTGGCCACGCCAAAGGTGCGTAACGTGGCCATGGCGAAGCGGCGCTGTCTCCTCCACACCTTCCCATTACTGAAGAAGAGTCCCGCTGATAAAATAGGACAATGAAGCCAACATCACTCAGGTGCTGGTGTAGGGTGCACATTTTAGGACATCCTCAGGTCTCAGGAAATTAGCCGGGATGTGTCAGGAAATAAAACAAACTTTAACTGCAGTCCTGCCATCCACACTTCAGAGCGGTGAACACTGGAAGTGAAAACTTGTTATAACTCTGCCTCTACTGCTGAATTACAGGCTATTTTAAGCTTTTTTTGAGGATGTACACTATTCTGGTGACAGATTTGCTTTTTTTTAAATTAATTGCTACAAATGTCCGTTGACATTGGACTAAAAAAAATGGTCTTGTAGCTACAAATTATTACTTTGTGGCCACAAGATGATTTTTAAAAAAATCCAATGCCACCAGACGGGCACTGCAGTTTCCTGTAAATTTTACAAGATTCACCTGAGTTTCCTGAATAAATCCGGGTCACCATGGGGCTGTACGGTCGGTCCACAAAGTTTTCAGCCTGTGTCACTAAAGCCTCCTTCACCATCCTCCATCCTGACACGAATACTGTTTTATGCCTTCCCAGACGGATGCAGAACACGTTCCCATAATCATCAGCAAGCTGTGAAAGCAGAAGCAGGGAATAGATGGTCTATTGTTCAGCATGTGACTCTTCTCACAAGAAGGCAGTCTCCCTCAAGTTTCAGCATTTTTTTGTACTAAAATACATTTAGTCGAATTTTAACAAGTGGATATCATGGTGAACTGTTTCAGAGTCATGTGAAACGCTGCCAGCTTACCTTGGTAAGGTAAATATGAGGTTGTTTGGATTCAATGCTGAAGATGTTCCCCAAAATTGGAAGAGCTGGTGGTCCGGGAGGATAGCTTGGAGGATCCTTTTCGTTGAACAAACACACGAGGAGAACGACCAAGATAAAAAGCAGGATTCCCCTCAGGTTAAACCACAGGTTCAAGTCGCAGAGCCACATTGTGACAGAGAGTTAAAGAGACTAATCAGGACTTCTCTGCACATCATTCATTCCTGGTTAGAAGAAGTGGGCTGGCACTCTGCTGACTCACAGCTTGTAGGGAGATAATAAACTGTGACACTGAGTCAGACCTTTATTATTTCAATGCACAACAGGCAGATAATAATACAAACATATGCAACAACAAACATTAGGAGGAGCTGTTGTGTAAAACCAAATTGACTGATAAGGTAGTTTTTTAAAAAAAAAGTCTAAATGTTGGATTTATTCTTGGCCTAACGTGGGGTGTGTCAGACCCCTTCAATCAATATTTACCACCAGATTTTAAACCATCATTTCCCCTGCTGTTGATCCAGCTGTTTCCAGGAGGTCAAGATCCACCTGTGTTATAGACCCGACACATCAAATTACTATCAGGTTATTAAGTAGGATTTTAACTTAAAACTACCTGACTCCGTTAAAAACATACCTCATAGTTTATTTTTTTTTCTGCACCTGCAACTCAGATCTGTGTGAGGATTTGACGTTTGTGTGTTTTCTGTTCTTGTCTTGTGCTTCCATCTAGTGTTCATTTCATGCCTTGTCATCTCAATCCTCAGATTATTCAGCCCTTCTAGATCATTCTGCTCACCTGTCTTCACTCCTAATCATCACAGCTGTCTCCACTCTCCACTTAGCCTCTGACTACTTATACTGGTTCTCATGCTCTCCACCTTCGTCCGTTCATTGTTTGTTTCTGTTTGGTTCATGTTCTGCCCTGGCTTCCTTATTCCTGCTCACTTGTAAGTCTTCTGTTTTTGCCACCACGCTGGCCTTTAATTTAATAAAAGTTTTGTTAAATTTTTTAAGTCTGCCTGCCTGCATTTGGGTCCATCCTGCCACTAAGTCCTGACAATCTGGTCCATTTCTCAAACCCTCCTCTCTCTCGTCCAGAGACTCAGGAAACCCAGGAACTGGTGACGAATAACATGTGACACACAACCACTTCTAAAATGTAAAACATTATGTGTTTATGCTGTTGGAGTGAGGCACATATTAAAATAGACTTGTAGATTCTCAGTTTAAAGTAAATTATTACAATCAGTCACAAAGTATAAAATGTAAGAATGTTTGTAAAATTCAGTTAATCAGTCAAAGAATATCTTACAGCTGGATAGATAGTTGCTTACTTTTTCACTCAATTATGTATCAAATGTTTGGAGAGAGGCTCGAGGTGTTGCATGAGGAGTCGGAGGAATTATTTTTTTTTTTGAGTTGACCATGTTTGCAGAAACATTCACACGATGTAGAGTTCTGACTTGGGGCAATGTACAAGACAGGGTGTCTACAGGCAGACGCTAGCAAGACATGAGAATGGACACATCTCTACTCATTACCTCTCCACTGTCTCCTCTTTGGTACAAAGAAAAGAGAAGCCAACACTATCTGTCTGCCCACTCTCCTGTCACTCACCCAGCAGCACATTACTTACCTGGAACCCACCTGGAGTCATCATCTTTGAACCCTGTGCTTTATCTCCTGTTAAACAGGGAGAAGTATTATTTTCTAAATTTGTCATGAAGAGACCACCACTGTTTCAAACAGATGGTGAGGAAACGTGTCCAGAACTCTTGGATTCGGAGTCAACCCCATTCGGCCACCACAGCTGCAGCCATTGACTTCAGCCAACACAAAAATGGCTGGCTAGGATTACTTGAAGGAATTCATATCATTCACTGTCTTTCATGCCAAAATTTTAAACCCAAATCATCTCATGTTGCCTGGTCTGATGAGTCTCGATTTCTGCTGCGACATTTGAATGGTAGGGTCAGAATTTGGTGCATGGACAGCTCCTGCCTTGTATCAACGGTTCAGGCTGGTGGTGGTGGTGCAGTGGTGTGAGGGATAATTTCCTGGCACACTTTGGGCCCATTAGTACCAATAGAGCATTGTGTCAACACCACACCCCACCCGAATATTGTTGCTGACCACGTTAATCCCTTTATGACCACAGTGTACCATCTTCTGATGGCTACTTCCAGCAGGATAACACTCCATGTCATAAAGCGTGAATCATCTCAGACTGGTTTCTTGAACACGACAATGAGTTCACTGAACTCGAATGACCTCCACAGTCACCAGATCTCAATCCAACAGTGCACATTTGGGGTGTGGTGTAATGCGAGATTCGCATCATGGATGTGCAGCTGACAAATGTGCAGCAACTGTGTGATGCTATCATGTCAACATGGACAGATTCTCCGAGGAAAGTTTCCAGTATTTTGTTGAATCTATGCCATGAAGGATTAAGGCAGTTCTGAAGGTAAAGGGGGTCCAACCCAGTACTAACAAAGTGTTACCTAATAAAGTGGCTGACAAGTATACAGGGGTTAGACAATGAAATGGAAACACCTGGTTTTAGACCATAACATCCCTTTCAGACAGCTTCCTCTTGCGTCCACAGTTAATCCTGTTGGATGTGGTTGGTCCTTCTTGGTGGTATGCTGACATCACCCTGGACACCATGACTCTTGATACTTCACAAAGACTTGCTGTCTTGATCACAGATGCTCCAGCAAGACGTGCACCAACAATTTGTCCTCTTTTGAACTCTGGTATGTCACCCATAATGTTGCATGCATTGCAATATTTTGAGCCAAACTGTGCTCTTACCCTGCTAACTGAACCTTCACACTCTGCTCTTACTGGTGCAATGTGCGATTAATGAAGATTGGCCACCAGGCTGGTCCAATTTAGCCATGAAACCTCCCACACTAAAATGACAGGGGTTTCAGTTTCATTGTCTAACCTCTGTATGTTATTCTGTATTGTGATGTGTTTTCATAAAAAATAAAGAAATAAAGCAACAAGAATGCAGTTGAATAAAGTGTGTGTTTTAATACAAACTGGTAATTAAAAGTGTTTGAAATTATTGTGATCAGTTGATACAGTTTACCATGTAATAACACAGTAATATGTGTTTTACCCTATAGCTCAAACAACATAGTCAATTAAAAAGATCTAACAGCTCTGAACTTTTCTGGAAAGAAAAAAACATTGGTGTAACTCAGCGAGCCTTGGCATGAACCTTGAAGGGGAGAGGAACTCGAGTAACTCCAGTGATTCCCTCTGTACTCAGCTCCTCTCCTTCAGGAGCAGAGAAAGTGAACTTCTGGAGTAAGGCAACCAAAAACAGGAACAGCTCCATCTTGGCCAGACCTTCTCCAAGGCACACACGTTTTCCTAAAGGTGCACACACACACAAAGATTTAAAAGAAAAGCTACATGTTTTGTATATTTTTAATAAGGTTTGCAGCTATTTTAAGTTGACATACTGAATCTCTATCAAACTTTACACTTACAGCCCAACATTTTCTGATTTAAATTCATTGGAAACAACAAATATTAATGACTCACTTTAAACACATGACATATACAAATTCTAGATTGTCTAAAAATGAGGTGGTGTACCTGCAGAGAAGGGCAGGAAGGCCTCTCTCTTCACAAACTTTCCACTGGAATCCAGGAAGTGTCCAGGATTGAAGGTGTCTGGAGTCGCCCATTCATTCTTGTCAAACAGCACAGAGGTCAGGACGGGCATTATAGACGTTCCCTATTCACAAACCAAATCCACAGGAACACACTGAGGTAAGCTGCTAAACCATCCCTTAACAAACGACCTCTAAGATTGTACAGTGATCGTACCTTTGGTATAAAGTAACCACCCACAGTTGTGTCTTTGGCTGCAAGCCTGAGTCCATTCAGAGGAACTATGTTTCCAAACCTCTGGATCTCATGGATGACAGCATCAGTGTACGGCAGGTTTGGTCTGTCTGCCATAGAGGGCTGCCGGACCCGTCCGATCACATTATCAATCTCTGCCTGGACTTTTTCTTTTTGAAGAAAAAAAAGAGAGAAAACAATCGAATCATTTTTTTGTTTCTCTAAAAGAAAAAAGAAAAAAATAGTGTATTTCCCTGTTTTTAAGATGCCAAGAGTCTGTAAGACATACCTACTGTATATTTACTACAAATTGCTAGATGTAGAAAATTAGCTTTTATGTCTTTAACTGAGCTGCATTTAACCAGAGTTCTGAAATTTGTTTTCATTGTTTAGTTTATCCATTTAAAAAAAAAAAGATCAACATAAATTCAACAACAAACAACAAAAATACAAATCATAAATTAAATGAAAGGTAGTAGAAGAAGAAATATATCTTATTATATCTGCCCCTTTTTCGCAAATGAATAAATTCAATCAAAAATAATCTTCAGTTTACATAAAACAAACAAAACAAAAAAGAAAACAAAAAAATGTTTAACTCCTTAAACAACAATTTATACATTTACATATTTCTCCAGCAAGTTAACCTTTATCATTCTCTTAAATATACATACTGTATATTTAAGAGGCCTCTGTGGTCAGGAAAGCCACTCAGATCACAGAGGACCAGTCACATTCCCTTCACCATCTTTTTCAGCTTCTTCCTTCTGGCAGGCGTTGTAAAGTTCCGTAGGCCAGGAAAAACATACAAAAAATCATTTGTCCCTTCTGCAATTACTCTATTAAGCAAGGCTGTATAGTTA